CTTTGCCCTGAGTCTCAAGAAAATACTTGTTCCGAACTGCGAAACCGTTGCTTCCAATAAACTGCTCAAACTAGTTAAATTAGGCCTAGCTGTATCTAAATGTAGGTGGCCCGACTTCTAACTAATTCCTTTTCAGTTCTTGAAGATTCGAATCTCAAGGATCCTACTCAGAGTGCACATTCCTTCCGATCCGGTTCTCAATTTGATTGTAAGAGAGTTTATGTGCTTTTAAATAATCATTTATTATGCGAGTCCACGAACTCATATCTCACGTTTTCTATCATTGTTTCGGTTTATGCTATTTTGCATCTTGGTGTTTCGTCATAATTGGACATTTTTGACCAACTTTAAACGATGTTTTAGCCAGAATCGCCTGTGCCCTTCTAAGCGACACCTTAGTAGGAGTTTTTCGTCTACATCGGCCGCGCAATAGACATTTTTGCAAGAAGATATTTCTTTAGCTGGTTCGGGTTTTTAATTTATGGAAGGATTTTGAGTCGATTACTCTTTCACCAGACGGGTTTCATTAAACCAAAAGCCATTAACCCATAAGTGGTGTACTACGTCCAAGTTCCCCTTTTTATGTACACTTTTGATGGAGCTCCGAGTTGTTTGTAATTCGAAAGTTATGAGTTTCCTTGATTTTGATGATTGGCTTGCTTTTTGCTGCGTTCTACTAAAATGGTCATCTCCCCATTCCTCACTTGTATATTTCAGCTTCGTTTTTTTCAACTCTGAACAATGCCCATAACCAACAGCAGCAACAGCAGAATGGAACTTCATCGGAATCTTCAGCATTCATCGCCGGCGCAGCCCAAGCAATCAAGTTAGAGCCGGGTGAAAGGGACCCAAATGCGTTTAATTTCTCTTTTACTACTTACCCACGACCCTGGGCTCAGGCAAGTTCCCCAATTAGCACACCTATTCGTTATTGACATATTTACATATTCGGATTCAAAACTAATGGTTTATTCTACCCGCAGTGTGGGGTACTTATCACAGAGTTGTTTCGCAAAGTATAAGGCATAATGAGGTAGTCTTGTTAGTACAAGCCCTTCTCAGGGATCAAGTATTTCGTTTTCAAAAAAGACACACTCCTTCTGTAGACAGACTTACTTGAAATTGTCGTGTCCCCGCAACAACTCTTGCGTACGTGTTTACTGAATTGACACACTGACCGAGGACGCCAGTTTTAAAGTCTTTCGATCTAAAAGTTACCCTCTTTTACAAAATGCAGAGGCCCCGCAGTGCCCTTTTCTCATCTTGTGTAACATAGGCGCGACCTCATAACTTGCGTAGGATCAGGTATTTACTAGAACTTCGGAGTCTGTTTACCACAACTTTCCCTTTCGCCTCAGACTTTACGACTTCTAAGGCTAGGTTCGGTTGAAGCCTTCACAACAGGATAATCGGTTTATTATCCTCACTATCCCCGTATCAGTCCAGACTTATTCGATGCCGGCCTTCAACCTCTAATGCAATTTGTTCTTCCAACTGCATGCCGGCCTGACTTGGGACTCTTGCCCAAGTTATTTGGTCGTTGAGTCCTTGAGTCATACGCTCTGTCAGCTTACCTGCGTGTTTGCGTTCTGTCGGCAGTGTTCGAAATCGCATGGGAGTGTCTTTCACTGGTCTGTATTAACAGCAACCTTGCACGCGACCGATTCCGTTTTGTTTTGATTCTTAAATATAGAAATATCGCAGGCGGTCGCACAACAACAAAGCATAAACACTCGAGTAGTGTTACCTATAAAGGAAAGGGATAATAAAATAGGCATTTCTGACCTTGATGTTTTCAGATACCAATACACCAAGTATGTTCTGGAACAACTTAAAATTTTAATCCGGGCCAATTGATTATCGAGCATCTGACCTTCACCCTCTATCCTCTGAGCCGTGAGAATCAACTGTTTTTCGTACAAACGTCTGAAAAGATGGGTGGGCACCACCTTCAGACAACTTTGTTTCGGCCCCAGCGAGCTTTATTCTTCAAATGGTTGACGGAAAACTGCTTTAATTTTATAGGAAGCTACTCAAGTAGCTGAGAATTTGATTGCTTCGTCACATACTATCGCTTTCTCATCCTTTTGACACGCGATTGCGTCCAATAATAGGGGCAGATTCAAATGCCGTTTTCCAATGGTTCGTCTATGTCGTTCTATTTTCTCTGGTGGTTCACTGACAACTTTTATCGTCAGGTCGTGCGGGATTGCAGCAGAAGTTTAGGCGGTATATAGTAAAGGCATAATAACTTCCACACTGACTCGTACTCCTGTGAGTTTTCCCGTTAAAAGTAAGATCGAACCATAAAAATGGAGGTTCACGCAGACTACCCTGTTCATGTTCATGGGCGATCCCAATTTCTTCGTCGTTTCTCCTGCACACATAAAGCATACTTGTTGTGTCCTGTGTGGCTTTTTTGCCTTTCGACTGCACCCAAGCTTTTTAGTGCGCCTACGGCCACGCTTTTGTCCTCTGACGGTATTGTGTTTCCTCCATCCATCTTTTTGCATTCTGAAAATAGAAATGCTCCGTTGGCGGGCCATAAAGGATGAGACAACTCACCGCCAAACTAGGGCCGCCATAATGGTGATGATTATGTTCACGATGGGAAAACAGAGTTATGCTTCATCATTATTTGATATGAATATAGTGCCGCAGGCGAGGATTTCAGTCTTTGGATAATAGAACGCAATTTTCTCTTTTGTTACCGGTGCAATATGGAGTATTGCGTGCAAAGTTCATTGACTACTTTGACGGGCACATTTGGTTGTTGGTCTCCACTGTTTCAGAGCGCGTTTACCGATATCTGGCATAGAAAACCCCTACAGACTATTTTGTTAGGACGTCTATGACGAACTTTGTTCGTATGCTAAAAGCGTCCAAAGATCCATTATGCTTTACGTCAGGCTGACCCCGTTTTCGTGCACATGTGCTTGGCACTGGGTTTTTATCGGTTTGCTGCAACACTGGTTTAACCAGCCCAAACCCTTTCCTGCAACCATCGCCTAAGTCCTCGACATTTGTCATCCAGATGGAGTTCTATTCTAGAATATCGAGGACCGTGGAACCCGGCATTCTCCCCAAATTTATTGGAACCACATCTGGCCACTTCGCTAGTTTACCACTAGCGTTGTGGTGGCGGCATTAACTTGGCCAGCACTTCGCTGGACTGACTTTGCAGATGTGCTCCTCTTCAGGTCAATGGATCAGGGCATGATTGAACTGTACGAGACGTTACTAGTTTATCGCTAGGGCGTGTCTCCGATCGGCAGCGGAGTCCCACACTTGATCCATGCATCGACGCCATATTATTATCTGAAGATATTACTTGTCAGACATACCGATCTTCGTCAGGTCAGCAGTTGGTGGGGGCCAGGTTTTGCTGTCAGAGAATGACTGCGTCGACTTCATCTCCTACATTAGTCTTTATCTTCTGCTGAATCTTACGACAGAGGAACGGAGGTAGACAAATCAGTCGACCACTCGAGCCTCGTACCAGCCCTCCTGGACGGGCGGCGTAATGCATGCTGAGCACAGACATCGAACAGTACGGAAGGAAGCAGCCACATGAACGCATGATTTTCTTTCCCGGCCACTCCGGGCGTCCGCCCTTGGTGCAAATTTGGATTTCCCTCACCTTACCCCTTCACGCAGTATGAAACCTAGGCAAATAATTAAGTTCGGCGGTTCTCCAGCATCATTTTATGGGATTCGAATGGCTCTAAGTGTCACCCGAAGGCATACCAAGTGGACTAAGAGTATGCCAACCGAATGGGGGATTGAAAGCTGATAAAGAGGACGAACGACACGCGGCCAATCAGAGATGTTTTAGTAGAAGGCCAGTCAACAACAGCTTGGCATACAAGTGGGTCGTACGATAATTGCTAGGGAAGGACTCAGCTTTTGATCAGGAAGATCTTAATCATAGAGTGCTGGGAGGGCGTCAGGGTGCAGCGCTGGCGCTACTTCGACTACAAAGTCCGAAGAAACCGAGTAGTTATATACTGTCTCCGTTCCGTACAGGAATAACCTGGGGTGTCTTGCCAAAGAGAGTCTGAAATATGTGTATTCACACTATTTGCGATCCAGCCACGTAGAACCCACACACATATAGCAGTGGTTAGTGTTTCCGCCGGTAGCCAGGACAAGTAACTTCCACTTTTCATCGACCACGTTGAAACCCCTCGATACTGAATAGGGGCGCCATTATGCGTAATTTGATGGGTTCCATATCGGTTATTAGCCGCATCACGAATGATCGATTCAATTTCGGTTGGTTGGCGGTGCACCCCCGGGCAAAAGTTGGTGAGTTGGGACAATCATTCTGCAATCAGCGAGTTCGGGCAACACTCAGAACTAACTCTGCCGTGTCCTCGCTGTCACTGGTTTACGCAAAAGATTATAGATTACGAGACAAAGGAGATTCTATTTACCTGGTATTCGTTGGTCGGTTACTAGTTAATTGGTGTAAGCTGGGCCGGACAGTAAAGTTTCAAAGATCGAGTGTGACAGTGACTTTATCCGTGTACTCACGGCTATTGCATTGTCCTCCCTGTTCTGTCCTTCCACTCCTCTCTTTCACTTCTTTCTTCTCCTTCCGTTTTAATTTTCGTCTGATTTCGTTTCCTGCTTCTAGTCCACCTCTGCCTGTCATCCCTCCTTTTTAGTGTTTTTTTGCCTCCTTTCGTCTTTTCCTTTTGCTCTCCCGCGTTTCGTCGTCATCGTTTGTTTCTGTTCTTTGTTCTCATTTTGTTTTTCTGTTATCCTTTACTCCAGTCTCTTCGCCTTGTCCTTTGCTTGTCTCCGTTTTATTTTCACGTTTGTATTTTTTCGTCGTGTTTTCCCCTTTGTTCCCTCGTCTCTAGTCTTCGTCTTTTCATACCCTTCCTTATCGTCCGTCTATCCTCTCTCGTTTCTGATCTCTTCGCCCTTCTCTTCCTAGTCCTTCCTTTCATTTTTTTGCCATTGTTTTTTGTTCTCTCCCCTTCAATCTGCCGTCTTCTCACCACTCGCATTATCAGCGACCCTTCTCTTTTTTTCTTCGTTTTACACACCTTTATTATTTTTTTCTTTTCGTATTGCTTTCGACCTCTCTCTCTCTCTCTCTCTCTCTCTCTCTCTCCATTATCCAGTTCTTATTTTATTGTTTTCGCTCCTTCATTTCAACTCTGTCTTTGGAGGCTCATCTGCTATTATCTAACTGAGCACGCATAAGTTTTTACTGGGGGTGGTAATTGCAGTCTCCCGTAACCGTCTCTAGTGAAAATAACTTGCAGGGCGTCTGCTGAAATTGCAACTTTTTTAGTAAGACAGAGATCGCTCACCGATCGAATTGCGGGACCTTCTCGTCCCGTCGTGCCTTTCGACGCAATCTAGAGCATCGCCAGGAGCCGCACAGTCCCAGGGGTTGCAAAACCTGGGGCTGGGTGTGGCCGACTGATGACGGCTGATAAGCCAAAACTGGCCATTTCAGTCACTTTTGTCCTTTTCAGTAGTTCTTTTTAAAAAAACCATCTCTCCCATGTTGGCGAGCATCGCCTTCGTGTCAATGCGTTAACCATGACAAGACAAGCTGTAGAATGCCTAAGGGTTCCATGAATCCCTGCATGCCCAGCGGTTTAAAAGGAATCATGATTGAGCTGATACGATGCACCTTACTGAAGACGAGGAGTCGTCATTCGATTTCCACAACCTCTCGCCTGGTTTAGTTTGATCCACCTATTGAATATTGGGTCGATACTGGAGGTTGTAGGGACTACATGACGGCCGTGGAACCCCCTCTACTTAGACAGCTGTGAAACAAAGCCTAAAGTGAGTTAGCTCTGTCTCGCAAGAAAATTCTTTTAGCGAAGTCATAAAGCCATGCCTCAAGTGTGCGCGTCTCACAGCCGCCATCGCCACGTCTTCGTCACTTTGTTGCATGCGGGCTCGCATGTATGCTGAGTGACATCTTTGCCTCCGCAGTTTGAACTTTATCACCGGCATAATTCAGAAGTGCAGTAACACCCACCGCGGGTGGGTCTTTTCATTGCTCTGACGAGCAAGTCACCACCACCACGCCACCACCACCACCACCACCACCACCACC